AGCATTCGCATGTTCTCCCTGTGCTTCGGTGGGTTCCTCCAGGTACTCCGGTTTCCTCCCCCATTCCAAAGACATGAGGTTGATTGGCATTTCCAAACTGTCTGTAGTGCATGAATGTGTATTCATTTTTCACATGTGATTTATACAGAATTTATTTATTTGCATGTGATTTCAAAAATTCTCATGATTCATTTATCTTCATGGGATTTTTTTTAAACCCATCAATTTATTTTCACGTGATTTTTTACATAATTAATTAAGTCACGTGAACATTATTTTATTTTGTAGGACATGAGATTTTATTGATCACAGTCACATGATGTGACGTGTGTTTACTTTAGCAAGTTCACACGAGCAATTTCAAGGCATATCATGTCGAATTGCAACTGCACATGCCTTTCACATATTGCTCAGATAATCAAATCTGAAATATATTTCAGCACCTGTGAAGTATGTATTTTTTAGATAAGGGCAGCAGTTAAGGTTCAGTGCTTGAAATCAGAAGGTTGCGTTCAAATCCCCAGACTGTCAGAGAGACACTATTGGGCTCTTGTGTAATACTGCTAACCTTCAACTACTCGGGTCTATGCCTAAAGTAAATCTTGCCTCATTTCTAAATCTATTTTCTTACTTTTTTGACATATTTGGCAAAAGAATAGCAGCCACATTTATCAAAAGAATGGTAAAATTACATCAATGAGCCCTGCAATTATACTGTTTAATAATGAATAATATGGACAGACACCTCCACATTCACATAACCTGATAATCTGAAACAAAAGCCTATAGTCATGAGGGTTAAAAGATAGAAAAGAAACAGCTGAGCTCACCTGTGCGTGACTGAGGCCACCTGGTAGAGCTCATCAGCCTCCTCATGGTGTCGTACCTGGTGTCACAGTTGTGTTTGTTGAAGCAGTACCATCCACCTGAAAACCGTTCAAAACATGAGTGCGTTTTTTCCAATAAAGTGGATGCTGCAACAACACTCTTGAAATAAAAGCAGTTAACATGTTTACTCACCTTCGAGGAACAGCAACCATCTTCTACTTCCCCGTGACTCCTTCATGTAGTACCTGAAACCAAATGAGAAATGAATAAGGAACCACTTTTCAGTTCAACCATGTTACATTTGACTTTTCTGGGTATGCCGGTCTTTGAGAATCTGCAAAGATGCAAAAGTTCATGTACATCATCTGCCTTCAGTTCTGAGATACTTAAATCTTGGCTGTGGTTGATTGTCTATCCAATGTAACTGAGCTCATAGTTTGAGTGTAACCCAACCCATCTTCAATCTTGAAGAATTTTGAAAAATCCAAATTCACAGATTCCCACCCACATGCTCTCCCCATCACACAAATGTTACCAATTGCTGCCATGTCATGCTCAGAGGAAAGCACTATATATGAGTTGGTTAATGTCACTCTGACAGGGGAGAGAGTAATGCTGCCCCACCCACCCAGAATCCTAGTCTTGGATAACTAGCACCGCTTGGATTCAAATTAATTAATGCTGTTCTGTTGCACCACTCTGGATCTTAGATTCTGCTTAAAGTCATCTTCTTTTTAAGCTCTCGTGTGAAATTACTGTAGCTCTCCCCAATCTGTGCCCCAGTAAGATCTCTTATGCAAGAGCCACCTAATTCTGAAGTGTGTATGAAAACAGGCTTTATAGTGAATCTGAAAAATCAGGCCTGTTTGATGCAGACCTTTAAATCATCAGAACACTTTTGGCAAACACAAGCAAGAGCATCATATCCACCAGGCTAGATTTGTTCTCCAGGCCAACTGCTCTCACAGCCCCAACAACAGAGATCAGCCCTTTTCTTCAGATGAAAGAAATGGAAGTTTATCCCCGTCCATTAAAGTGTTTAGACCACCTATTTTGATGACCACACTGCATGCTGAATATCATTTCTTCATGTTTCCAGAAACAGGACTTTACAGAGGAGCCATAATATTTGATTATTCCCCCACAAGCCTTCCTGAGTCTGGACAGCGCTGCATCTTGTCGGCACCAAAGTCCGCCAGCTTGCATCATATTACTCTCCAAAAAAGCTCTGTGCTCTAACCTTCGCCTTTGATCAGCAAATTGAAACATTTGGGTTTGATTTTACGCTTAAGGCCCTCACTCTCCCTCTCCTCGTTTTATTTGGAGCCTGTTTCAAAGCTCTCTGAAAACTATTAATAATTACTGAATTTCTGGACTACGTGGTGTGACTTCACAACAGCTAATTATGCTCAATTGCCCATCAGACTCCATTTGTTCTTACTGGAAAAAGAAGACATTACAAAAGACATGGCAGAGCTATGAACCAGGCATTTTGTTGCGGTGATAAACAGCGAAGTGCAGTGGACAGCGAAGCCTGGGTGTCGGGACACTATTCAAAAGCTATTTTGAGAACAGAAGGCTCTCGAACGGATCTCATTGCTGTTGTATTCTGGTATGGATTGGATTGCAGAACGGGTCCAAGTACTGTTTACTAAACGATTGAGGGAACATGTTCCTGACAAAATCAATGATGTAACTCACCATGTCTGTGATGCCATGACGTATCCCAGAACCTATTCCTACTTCAAAATGACATTATTATTGACTTATATATAGCTCATCACTTCATTAACAGGTTACGGTATGATGGCCATGTTCCTCCTTAATGACTCCACCAGACTTCAATTTGATATTAAAATCATGATTTTGGACTTCTTAAATGACTAAGATTACCCACCGTGTCTAACTGGATAATGAAAGTGAGGAGACACACGCTTTTTGTCCAGGCAAGTACGCAAACAACCACAGCATCTCTTACTGTCTCTATTAAAGGGCCAGTCCATGTGTTCCGTATTAAGGAGGGGGAAAGTCCGCTTCAGTGCCAGACAGCTGCTAAGGAACTACACTTGTTCACTCGCTCAGTGTTCTCTCGCTCCCTTTCGTCCTCCCTTTCAACTGCTTTATCACAGAGATCAAGCAGAAGCGGAAAACCCACCAGAATAAAGCCATCAGACACACATTGCGCCAAAGATGAGAGAGTTGCGAATCGTTTCATCTTGGGGATGAGAGAGATGGAGATGGATGGAGGGAGTGAAAGGCGAGGGAGGAGGGTGGGAGAAAGTGACCGTCTGTGTGCAAGGTTCAAACGCTGTGAACCTATATCCTTAGATATTCTCATGTATACATGCTCTGTCTTCAGTCAGTCTCTCTCTCCCTCACACTCATTCACCAGAAAGCCCTCTTTGATCACTGATTATGCTCAGCAGACAGCTGCGAGTGGGTGTGTGAGTGTATGTTTAAGGAAATGAATGTAGATGTGGACAGAAAAAATGTGTTTGTATTTGTGTATGGGTGTGCGTGTTACACTCTCAGTATGGCAGCCAGATAGCACTGGATCTGGAGTGCCGTGTTCCTTGGCGTGGAATCCCTTTGATGTGTCTCTGGCCTTGCTGAAAAAACTGTTGTGCTTTAACATGTAAGGAAGCAGCATGCCTCATTTTGCAGACCCTGGTCTGGATTAGTTTCGACGTTTCGGCTAATAACAGAAAACAGAGCCACTCTCCAAGAAGTGGTGCAATTTACTCATTTACACAAACCTCACACACTATTCCTTAATGATACACTGAGTCAGGTGCATCTAACTACCATTTGCCTGTGAAAAATACTGTACACGTGGGCCATTTAAGACTAAATACAATTATCTAAATGCAAGCAATATGTAAGTGATATAAAGTAGTAGTCTGGGATGATGCTTCTGTATGCAAGGCAAATTTCTTTCCAGAGCAACTGAATCCAATTTCCTCTGCCTGAAATACAACTTTTTTTTCCCTCCCCCGAGATCATGACTATGATCCCAAAATGCAAAGTTACACACAGTGAGAAGCATCACCATTACCTGCAATACATACCGCAGACAAATACCACCTGAGCGGGAGAACATGCTCTATTTGTAAGACCACAAATTGGATCTGACGTTTCCCCAGTCAAACCTCAACCCTGCGATCCTCTCTTGACGTCTGCACATTTAAGATGAGAGCGGAACATTGTCTTTTCAGCATTCACAGGGTGCTTATTAAACAAGTTTGTCTGGGAATGCAGGGAATTCTCCTTACTTTTATTCTTAAATGGAGAATTGATTCCTCCCTACTTTGATTTCTGTGTACCATATCATCAAGTGATTCACCTTTTCCTTCACCTTGAGATGTTAAAATGCTGGTGAATGTCTAGCCCTCAACAACAAAATCGTGACAGTAATAGGCTTGAAAACAGGTTGGCACTACATGCTGTGATGATTCTTATGACTGTTTAACATCACATATCTTTTGGACATGTCGTCACATAATTCATGCTGTCCTGTTTACCTTCATGCAGTGATGTTCCTCTACAACATGATCGCTGTGTATTTATTGAGACTGCTCTCTGTATTTATTGTACTGTCCTGCACATATCCTGTTTATTCAAACTCGAGCGTGTAAGCATGTTATATACACAGTGTACACAGCCGCTATCTTGTCTTGTATGCATGCTATTTCCTCACACTGTACACAGGGATATGAATGGAATTACAATAATGTTCAATATGTGTCTAGAAACATGCTGTATTTATTACCTAGCAGAAACAAAGAAAAAAAAAACATGGTTTGTGATCCATTGTTATTTATAATCTCTGAGGAGAGTGGTTATCACTAATTATTAGGCTCTCTCATATTATATATTAGATTATATTAGATACCATTATTATACATTATATTATATTGCATCCATCTATCTGATCCTACACAGGGTCACGAGAAAGCCTGGAGCCTATTCTAGGGAACTCGGGGCACGAGGGGACACCCTGACGGGGCGCCAACCCATCGCAGTTCACACACATCAACACACCCATTCACACCCTACGGACAATTTTGGAAATGCAAATCAGCCTACAACGCATGTTTTCGGACTGGGGGATGAAACCGGATTACCCGGCGGAACCCCCCGAAGCATGAAAACATGCAAGCTCCACACACACAGATCGGAGATGGGATTTGAACCCCCAACCCCAGACGTGTGAGGCAAAAGTGCTAACCACTAAACCCCCTACACAGATACAAGGTGTTGTAATGATGACTCTGATGATCTACAGTAATGAGGATTATTTTAGAAGAACACTTGGAGGATACTGCATAGCATCTTTGGCAACACCCCAAACCATACGCATTAAATAGTATATAAAAATGATAAAAACAAAGTTTGCCTAGGAGGCATAATATACTATTAAAACAATGTGCAAAAAAAATCTGCTTATGTTTATATATATATATATATATATATATATATATATATATATATATACACATACATACATACATATATATATATATACACACATATATACACATATACATACACATACACACATTTTTTTATTTTATGGCGAAGATATATACACACACTATATACTACTTTTTTCACAGCTCAGCTAAATTCTCACTTACATTTTACAATTCGGGTTAATCTGCCAATAATAAATACCACATGACTTAGAAAATCTAACTAAAACACAGTAACATGTTTTTAACGCAAATTTGCAGGGGGTAAAAATGTTCATTTATCTATTTATTTTTTAGTTTTTATAATCATTCCGTCAGATCCGACTCAATTAAAAGATTCACTCTAAGAACCGATTCATTCGCGACTCGCGCGTTACTGATCATTACTCTGGGGGATTATTTAGTAGCAGGGAAACGTACCCGGCGGGTGTTCCGTCATTGCAGGTCACTGAGGAGTTCTCCAGAAAGTGAAGCTTCATGTCATCCTCCAGCTTCTGAGCGGAGCACGGGTAGAGGGACTGAGCCAGGTTCTTCACCTGCTCCATGAACGTGTCCACGTTGCCGTCCTGCACGGCGGTAAAGTCCAGAGGGAAGCTCTCTGTCGTCTCCGTCCGGTCCCGCTGTGACTGGCGAGTCTGAGTCCGGCCGCCGCGGCCCTTTCTCCCCTCCGAGCTCTCAGGAACAAGCAGGACCATCACCAACACCGCTAACATGACCGGAGTCCGTCTTCCCATCTCCAAACGGAACACTTAATATTTATTCCGCAGTAACTCCAAGAGCTTCTTGCTCTGGAACAGGCTGAGTGACAGACAGCTGATGCTCTGTAGCCTAATCACTGCATGTGTTTTCTTCGAAATTCCAGTTTTCTGTCCTCTTATACACTACTTCTTGACTACAATTTGTAACCTAATGATGAAGGTTTAGAGGTTCTGGACTATATCTCAGCTGAAACATCACCAAACATCACTTCCCCTGAAAGAAATGGCCATTCAGTGCGAGTACAGATGGAAACCTTAAACATCAGTAATAGAATACAATACAAAAATATAAATGCCAAAAAACGGCTTGATTAATCTCGCGGGTTGTAATTGAAGAACATGATAGAGTGGCATCCCTTTCCACCGTCCATGTCAGTTGCGGATTCATAATTTCCACGCGACAAGCGTTGTGGGGATTTTATTCAAATATTTCGCCCTGCGCTCCCCTCTCAGCCAATCAGAGCAGTGGGCAGGTTCAGAGGGCGTGGCTCATCGGCACGCGCGCATTCTTGTTGGCTGAATCCCCAAGTGGCTTGTTACTCCCTGTATGAGTGAATTAGATGGGATTATAAAATAGTCCATTCTAAATAAAGTGCATTATGTGTCCAGGTGGGAGCTGCTTTGGATTCAGTCGTTAGGTTTATTGAAAAGAAGAGAAAGACGTTTTGTTGTGTTTTAATATCCTATTAAGTTTACGCGGGATAAATTCTTGACCACGTCTGAAAAAAATGAAAGGTGGAATTTAAAGGTAATCTTTCAGGTGTGTGAAGAAAAAAAATGGTGGCTCATAAAATGTTTTTTAAAGGGGAATAAAAGGATTTTCCAGACACTCTCTTGCTCTTAGGGTGTTACCCTTAATGGTACTTTCACCTGGACATGTGGATGCAGTGTACCTTTAAATGGTGTAAAGTAAAAAAAATTAATAATAAATAAATAATTAATTAAATGTAAGGTTTTAAAGGCACACTGCATGATTCTAGGCAGAATATATATACTAGATGTTTACAGTGTGTTACTAAGGCATCCATTGTAAGTTCCCTTTCTGCATTAATGCGCCATCACTACTGGATATTAGATTTCGTGTTTTATATGTGCTAAACATGGATATTCTAAAAGGTTTAAATAGCAATAATAAAAACGTTTCCCATGATGAAAGGGCAAAAAATGTGAATGGTCTATTCTGTAGAGTATAATTAGATTTATTTACCTGGTGGTAAAAGAAAGTCAAGTGACACTTAATTAACACTCTCTGAGGAAGACAAATGGTATTAAAGTGTACATTAGAAAATTCCCTGCTGAAAACAACAAACCAACAGTAGAAACCCCAGAGAATTTGTAATGGTTTTAATGATGGGAATTGTATTGGTTTTAATGGAAATTTTAATGGTCCCTGTGGGTCTCTACTGGGAATTTATTGTCTTCTGTTGGTGGCATGTTATGTCTAGTGGAGACCATTAAGTACTAATCATGGAAATGGTTTTAATGGTTAGCTGATGTATTTGTATTGGAAACCATCAGAATTTCTGTGATGGTTTCTATTGTTGTTGTTTTTTCCAGCAGGCTTGCAACTTGTGTGGTTCCAAATTAGGGGTCAATTTTGTCAATGATGTAAAGTAAAAAAAAATAAATAAAAATTAATAATAATAATAATAATTATATATATATATATATATATATATATATATATATATATATATATAATGTATGTATGTATGTGTGTATATATGTATATATCATTTTATTTTTTTTTTAAAGATGCATTTAGCTTGTCACTGAACTGGTATATAGCTGGATACATGAACCTTTAAAGTCCTTTAGGGACGTTAATTAATTCATAATCATCTTTGGTCATAACTCCACTCAGATCATTGCGTCACATCTGATTGAAGTGTTTTGGGTGAAAATGTGTGGAAACTACATTTGCAAATCAGCATGGTTAATCAAACCAATCAAAACAAACAGACGTTTTAAATTGAGTGGAAAAGCCATGCCGACGTTCAAACGAGAGCTCGTTTCCCCTTTGCAGCACACTTCCTCTGCTTTCGGAGGTAGAGAGGCAAACACTGGGCCTGAAAAGGCCGTTTAAGAGGAACGTTTGAAGTTTTATTTCCTCGCTGATCGTTTGGACGGATAAGAACTGCGCTGTTTGTTTATTCAGACGGCAGCAATTTCCCCCCCGTGGCAAAACCAGTCTGTCTGTCACCTTAATGCCCCCCAATAAACACAAGGTGTACAGAAACCGACCCGTGTGTGAGTGAACTTTACTATGGGTTTCCTCAATTTTTTTGGTCAGTGGAATGCGTTTGACTATATTTCTGCATTTATTACAGTACTAACAACACAGTAGCCATAGATCAGTGATTATCTTCCCTCCGGGGGCCTCAAGAGTTGGGAAATGGTATGGCCCGCTGTAGGGGTGCTCAGAAGTCTAAATGACATTAGTTTTTCTACCCCTTCAATTAAAATCAGATGGGATGATGGGATATCCTCTTGCGAGCATAATCCGTCGCGCGCTTTCCGCCCAATTCACACCTGTTCGTGCGCGCGGTGCTCTTTAACGACACAGAACGCGCACGAGTCATAGAACCAATTCAGCGTCCCATGGCTAAAGTTATATTTAACAATTACAGATAGCCTACATAATCATAGCCTACATTGCAATATGTACCATTTACTGTACATTTATATTGTTTGTAAATTGTAGGCCATTACAGTTATTCAGAGAGTGCTGATTTAACACAGCACCTTATTCTGACAGTAAAGTACAGTACCTTATTCTGACAGTATAGTACAGTACCTTATTCTGACAGTATAGTACAGTACCTTATTCTGACAGTATAGTACAGTACCTTATTCTGACAGTAAAGTACAGTACCTTATTCTGACAGTATAGTACAATACTTATTATTACAGTATATTACAGTACCAAATTCTGACAGTATAATACAGTAGTTATTCTGAAAGTATATTACAGTACCTTATTGTGGCAGTATAGTACAGTACTTATTATTACAGTACTTTATTCTGGCAATATATTACAGTACCTTATTCTGGCAGTATATTACAGTACCAAATTCTGACAGTATAATACAGTAGTTATTCTGAAAGTATATTACAGTACCTTATTGTGGCAGTATAGTACAGTACTTATTCTGACAGTATAGTACAGTAGTTATTCTGAAAGTATAGTACAGTACCTTATTCTGACACTATAGTGCCTTATTCTGAGAGTACCATTTTTGACAGTATAGTGTTTATTTAACACCAGCAGTGTTGGATTAGCTTGTACAGTTTTTGTGTTTGTGTCCAGTTGTTCTTTAACAGAGACCTGTCTTATTCAAAACCAGGAATTTTGGGATGTGCACCTAAGCTAGCCACTATGGCCACTATGTTGTGTTCCAGCTATGCTATAAGCTTATAATAGCCTTGTGATCAAGGAATTCATATCAGAGCTCTTCAAAGCCATGCCTGTGAGTGGATTTGTGCATACTGTATGTGTTTGCAGCCCCCCTATACCCTCCCCAACACACACAAAACCCCTCCTGCCCTCATGGCAGAGAAATGGATCTGTCACTGATATCCGCCCAGCCTCTTTGACTTATGCCTTTCTTTCTGTCGCAATTCTTTCAGTTAAAGGAGAAAACATGCCACTTAAATCACTCGCATATGGAGCCACAGCAGCGCGACACAAGACGAAAAACATCAGGGGAATGAATCCAAAAATGAAGCTAGTCTATATTATAGCCTTCAACTTTATGCAGTTGAAATGTCAGACTTGTGGTAGCTTCACTGAGTGATAGGGTATGAGCCGGTTAAATCATGAGTGTTCATGAACCTTGTGCACTAATGGTGTGTGATACTGGTATCTTGCAACCAACTATTTATACACTAATGGAATCTTGTAGTATATGACTTGCTCATTAAGGATTAAATTAAGTTTATGATCCCTAGCCCATGATCTCACTATGTTTTATATTTATGTTGTGTTTCTTAATTGTAGTGATGTTTTCACCCATTCT